GTGGTGCCTGCACAGGAGAACAGGCAAATGGGCATTAAGCACATCCTGAGGAACCGTCTCTACCTGTGGTGCAAGGTGACGAGGCTGTGTGCCGGCGCGCTAGCGACGCTCTGCTTCATCCACTTCTTCCACTCGATCTTTCTCATTAGTTCCCAGGTTCCTGCCTGGGCCTGGTGGATCTTCCATATATGTGGGTGTCTGACCGAGTTTTTACTTGGCGGAACAGTTTATGTGGCAGCAGCTTTAACTCAGCGGTATGATGAAAAACTTCGTTTTATTTATAACTTCTTTGTTCCTTCAGGAGTGTTTCAAAAGAAGGGTCCGGCAGTACATAAGGAGAGGAATGGCAATGCAATATACCAAAGAGTTTCCTATTCAAGTGGAACGGAGAGCACTCAGTATGTTTCAGGCACTGCCGACACAGGCCCTGCGGCCGTTGAAGAGGTGTCGGGGAGTCCTCGAGTTCCAAGGAGACGCGGCGCCACCGTCAGGAGATCGGCCACGTTCTCTCACACGCCACAGGATCCAAGGATGTACCAAAGGCCGTATTATCAGCCAACGCACGTGCAGGTAGCGAGGTCCGGCTCAACGTCTCAGATTCCTTGCTACAACTCAGGGTCTGTGTCTTTCTATGGAAACACGTCGATGTCACACGTCCCAATCTATAGCCCACCGAGCACGTCCTCCATGCTGGTTCACGAGGATGGCTTCGTCAGAATCAAGACCCAGTTGGACCGTCACGAGGCGTCCCCAACGGCGCACGAGTCTCTCACAAGGCTTCACGATCCACGCCTCTCGCATCAGCACATGTATGACAGGAGTCAACATCAGGCGAACGCTCTAGGACGGCAGGAGAGCTTCTACGAGAGCTTACCTCGCAGAAGAGGAAGCCATCGCACCCCGGGGGCTCTCCACAAGAACATCGAGGGGCCGGACCACGAGTATCAGCCGGCATCTGCGAGGAACATTTGCCGCCTCCCAGACTTGCCTCAGTTGCACTACCACGGGAGGCACGACGCTGATCGCCAGAGCCTTTACCAGAGGAGGGCCTCAAGGGACCCCATGCTTAAGCAGATGAACAACATGGATAGAGAGGAGAGACTGTATCACTCTCCGAATCTGAGAAGAAACAATTCTCGGGATCACAATTTCCAGGCGATGAACAACCTGGACAGAGCTGACTCTGATTACCAGAACTTGTCTAGGAGAAAGATGTCACGTGAAGATAATAACGACCCACTTCACCTAGCGGTTGCTGAGCCTGAGTATCAAGCAGTCCCAAGTGGGAGAAGACCATCGCGGGAGGGGAGACATTCGGTTCAAAGTCCGTACGATAAGCACGGGGTGAACTATTACCTCCCGTCGCATCATGGAAGTCCCTCCGCCAGGCATAAAGTGTCCAACTACTCCATCGGATCTCCTGTTTTACCCGAGGATCCCTCAGCCACGTCGATCCATAACTTCTACAAACCGCACTCGCCGAGCAGCCCGCGGCGGGAGGCCCACTTCCCCAAGCTGTTCTCGGACCTTGGGAGCACGTCGAGTCTCAAGAGCGAGGAGCTGGACCACAGAGGACCCTTCCCCAGGACCAACCCCGTGCGCCGCAACCATTCTTCAGCGGGCTACTTCCCCTCCAGGAACCTCGCCCTGGCAGAGATCTCCGAGGACAGGCGCTTCAGTTCTCTCAGGCTGAGTCAGGTAAAGAAGCGCCAGCCGGGTTACGTCATCAAGAGCAACACGAGCAAGCTGCTGAACAAATACATCGACCTGCTGCCCAGGCGGTCGTCCGTGAGCGGCGAAGTACCCAAGGAAGCGGCGGCCCAAGCGTCACCTCCTGACAGTGTCGAGACCTCAGAGAAGGACAGCAAAGTATCAGAATCTGAGGAAGAAGTGAGAGTGAATAAAGGCAGTGAGGAAAGTGAGGACCCCGAGGAAAAGGGCGCAAGTGCTGGGGAAGGCGCAGAAGGAGGGAAAGGAAGGGAAAATGACCCGGATTGGGCGCTAGAACTTATTAAAAGCAGTAGTATGTTAACGAACTTTTACTCCTTAGAAAGCCCACAAGAACACGAAGAAGAATAGACTTTTTGTGATGAGAGATTGTTGAATCACAAATAAAGTTTTAGAATCGCATGGCTACGAAAATAAGTGTAAAAAAGACAAAAACACATCATAGGTACAAACTTTTGAATGCCAGTGTTAATCGTTTAAGATTAATAGCTGTGTTAATGACTATGTTGCAAGGAAGAAAAAAATGGCTAAAATTATACATATCAGATATATCTGCATATTTTGGAACTTCGTTTGTGGTTTTACATCTTAAGAGAATATATTTATGTTACATTTATTTTTTCTTAATGTACTGAATTGTGATGTTAATACTAAGCCAAACACACCCAGTGTTTTATATGATCAAAATGGATTTTCGTGGTTGACACACATTTCGTGTACCAAAGCATTTTTTCTTCTGTAAATTGAATACTATTACATTTCCTAGTCAATATACTGCCTTTTATTAATCTACCTATGTGATTGATGGATATGAAGTCACAGGGATAGACTGTTCGTTAATATCTAACAGTACTTATATTTCCTATATTTTCGGAATCTCTTTACATATATTTACAACACACACATTTTCTCTTGGTCCGTCCGTACACGTACACACACACGCACACGCACACGCACACACACACACACACACACACACACACACACACACACACACACACACACACACACACACACACACACACACACACACACACACACACACACACACACACACACACAACCCCCGCTCCCCACATACACTAGAGAAGAAAAGTAAACAAGAACAAGAACAAAAAAAAACGATAAAAAACGAAAAGAGAAGAGAAAAAAAAGGAAAAAAAAAGGTCCCATACTTCATCACGACCACTAAAACACACAAAGAAAACCCGAGTCATGGTAAATCATGCGTCGCGGTTCGTCTCGGCCCGCATTTAGTCCTTAATATTAACCCTCCTCCTCCTTCTTCTTTCTTCTTCTTCTTTTTCTTTTTCTTCCTCTTCCTCTTCTTCTTCTTCTTTTTCTTTTTCTTCTTCTCTTCTTCTTTCATTTTTCCTCTCCCCTTCTCCTCCCTATCTTTTTTATCTCCTTCCCTCCTCTTCCCTATCCATTTTTTTCCTTCCTTCCTCTTCCCAATCCATATTTTCTCCTCTCCCTCTCTTCCCTATCAATATTTTCTCCTTTCCTCCTTTTCTTTATCTCCTTTTTTATCTCTTTTCTTCCTTATCCTTTTTTCTCCTCCCTTTCTTCCTTTCTTCGTTACCTAATATATCCAAAGGCCTAAATGACTTGTCTGGTCGTTTCTTTATTATTTTTAAAGAAAATAGATAAGAGAGAAAAAGGGAAATAAAAATTATCAAATATAAGTACTTGGCTGTTTGTATCTTTAATAATCTAAAATAGAAAGAAGAAAAATAATATAAAGTAATAGGAAGAAGAAAAATGATGAAATATACGTTCTTGTCTCTTCGTTATCTTTTATATCATAAAAGAAAATAAATAAAAAGTAGAAAATATTTATTAAAGAAATTAAAGAAATTAAATTCATTATTTTTTGCCTATTTGTCTATCTCCGAGTGGGTCTCATTACCTACAGAGAAAAAAAAACCCTTAAATACTTAAAATACCTTAAATACCCTAAAACACCCTAAAATATCACCCTACCAGCCCTCGCCCTAGAAGATGAGACGTCCATAGAAAACGACTCACCCTGCTGTCTCCTAAGCCCTCTCACCCTACGAGAGCTGACTCTGGCTTAGGCTTAGTAGATTAAGCTGGCGGGGCTGGGGGGGGGGATGGGTGTGGTGGGGGGCTGGGGGAGGGGGGGGAGGGCAGAACAGCTGACTCATCGCGGGTGGCTTCTCCGACAGCCACTTTGGAACGAGAGGAATTTTTTGTACTAAGAGAAAGAGAGAGAGAGAGAAAGGGAGATAAATGGATGGGGAGAGAGAGAGAGAGAGAGAGAGAGAGAGAGAGAGAGAGAGAGAGAGAGAGAGAGAGAGAGAGAGATAAAGAGAGATGAATGGATAGATAGATAAATAGATAGAGAGAGAGAGAGATAAAGAGAGGTAGAGAGATAAAGAGAGATAGAGACAAATAGAGAGAAAGATATATATATAAATAGATAGATAGACAGATAGATAGAGAGAGGTATAATGAGATAGATAGATAGGTAGAGAGAGAGAGAGAGAGAGAGAGAGAGAGAGAGAGAGAGAGAGAGAGAGAGAGAGAGAGAGAGAGAGAGAGAGAGATAAATAGATGGATAGATAGATAGATAGACAGAGAGAGATAAAGAGAGGTAGAGAGATAAATAGAGATAGAGAGAAAGACAGATAGAGAGAAAGATATATATATATAGAGAGATAGATAAATAGATAGATAGATAGAGAGGTAGATAGAGAGAGAGAAAGAGAAACCACCAGATCTGTCAAAATAACTCGAAGCCGGACTCTCCTCGTCTTCGTGTGGTACCCTCTAATACGCCAGTCTTTTCGTAAAGTCACGAATACCCTCTGTGGAATCACTTAGGATTAAAGTGATTATTTATCTCTCTCTTTTTTATGTATCTTATGTGTATACTAACCTCAAAAATTGGTTTAGAGGAGTTTTTTTTTTAGGAGGACGGGAAGCCACGGTATTTATAATTAAATGTTCGTTAACTCTAGTCATTATGGAGTTATAAGTTTTTGGATATTAGAGAGTCCCGCGTGTTATACCTCTGTATCCATCTATATAAAAAATGTGTTATGTTACAGGACGACGTTGGTTATGGAAGAGAGAAAGGGAGAGAGAGAGAAAAAAAAAATCTCCCAAAAGGTTATTTGGGAAGGAAATCCATAAAGTAAATTGAAAAAAAAAAAAAAAAACAAAAAAAAAAAAAACACATTTTTACCGCAGTCATGCATTTTGGTGGTGTCAGGGATCACAGAGGACGATGACTATTATTATCATGTTTGTATTTTTATATACGTGGTGGAAACATTGGCGTGTTCCGGCTGCATAAATTGCCTCGATTCGCTTAACGGGGATGATGATACTGTTCGGAGTGATGTTTAATGTGACATATAGGCCTGGTTATTATTTTCGTGATTAAATGATACGTCACTATATATACTGTTGATTTTGTGGGAAGTTTCTGTCTGTCTGTCCGTTTCTCTCTCTCTCCCTGTCCCTTTTCCTCTCCTTCTCTCTCCCATTTCTCTCTCTCTTCCTCTCCCTTTTCCTTCCCTCCTTCTCTCTCCCCTAGTCCCGACTCTCTCTCTCTTCCTCCCTCACTCTGACTCCTTTTCCCACAGCACCCTCTTGGTTCATCCTCTCAAGAAATCACTATATTCTCCCTGCTCATACCAAAATATCTAACAATCACAACCACTATGTTTACCTGTAGCAACATACACACACCTTCGTTGACGTCAAAGATAAAAAAGAGAATAATATCAACCGCGGTGATAAAGTAACGTAATAACAACAACCGCGGCGAAAACGGAACAGAATTTTAATAACCGCGATGAAAACGGGACAGAAGAATAAGCACAGTGAAAGCTAAAGAGAATAATAATCACATTGGACAGAAGAATAACAACAGAAATGGAAATGGAACTGAATAATAAAACCCGCTGAGAAAATGGATCAGAATAAAAACTGTGGTGAAAACGAAACAAAAATATCAATCGCGATTCAAAGACAGTACAGAAGAATAACAACCGCTGTGACAACGAAACAGAGGAATAATAATAATAATAATAATAATAAAAAACGCGGTGAAAACACACACACACACACACACACACACACACACACACACACAGACACACACACACACACACACACACACACACACACACACACACACACACACACACACACACACACACACACACACACACACACACACACACAAAACAGAAACAAACAAACAAAAAACAATAGCAAACAGACAAACAACCGAACGGGTGGTTGGGTGGTGTGGGGTTAGATTTGGCAACGCCGGCGCGTCCTTCATGAATTAAAAAATAGGGAACAAATGCATGGATAACAGCAAACTAACTCCCGGCACCGATTAAGCCAATTGCATGCAGGAATCACCAATGGATTTAGCAACGGGGAGCATAAAGGGTTATTTTTTTCGAGATCAATCGCTATTTAACTCCGACTGGATTCCGACAGACTCATGAACAGCCGAAACTATTCCATGGCTTGTTGCGGCTGAAATGCTGGTTATTCTGCCGATGGTGATTCCGCTGTTTAATGACATGTTAATGGGAGCGACTTTTGTTATTGTTGTTGTTGTTGATGTTATTATTATTATTATTGTTGTTGTTGTTATTATTATTATTATTATTATTATTATTATTGTTATTATTATTATTATTATTATTATTATTATCATTATTATTATTATTATTACCATCATTATTATTATTGTTATCATCATCATCATCATCAAAGTTTCGTTGTTATTGTTATTATCATCATCATTAATGTTGTTGCTGTTATTATTGTTATTTTATTACTACTACTACTACTGTTATTAATTCTACAAATCCTACTGATTGTCTTTATGCCATCATGATCCTCGATATCATCACTTTTCAATAATCGTAAGACACCAAAGTACATAAAGGTAATTTCAAATTTACTCAAACAGGAATATTTTCGTTCGCAAAACTTTCCTCAAAATACACACAAAGCCGGTAGTCTTTACAGCTGACATACATGAAAGAAAGAAAGAAAAAAAATATTATGCTAAATAACACCATGTCTTTAATGATACCAATTTCCATGTCTAGGCCTTAGGGAAAGTAAGGATAAATTGCGCATTCTACGTTTTTTTTTTTTTTTTTTTTTTTTTTTTTTTTGTAAGATATATTTATGTATATATATATATAGAGAGAGGGAAAAATAGATATATTAAATAAATCCAGATATCAAAGATAAAATGTCAGAGAATCATCTTATTAGTTAAAATTAGTGATCTTGTTTTGGCACTGCAGGATTCTAAGCAGCTGTTTTTTTCTCTCTTTTAATCAAGTTGTATTAATATCTCCCTTTAATACATCAGAAAGTTCCTTGATTTATTAACCTAAAATACACTTCATTTACTCCTCCGTGGCGGATTCATTATAGTAATGCTCCCTCTATCTCCCACGTTTTATATTCTTGCTATTTTCATTTTCATATTTCTTATTTCTTTTGTCTTTATTCTTGTTCCGCTCTTTCGCTTCCAGCCTTTTTATTCCCGTTTTTTATCTTCCGTGCTGCTGTTCATTCTTTATTCATTTTTGTCTTTCATTATTCTCCGTTTTCTTTCTTTGGCTTTTATGGCTCGCCCTGGCTATCTCCCTCCTTTTTTATTTAGGTAGTTTTATGTCCTTCTTTGAATTTTTTTTTACAAATCTCTTAATATAAAACACACACAGACACCAACACTCACACACATACATACACCGACAC